TGTCTCGCTGCCCAGGCGGGTCTCGAACCCGTGGGCTCAGGCAATCCACTCACCTTAGCCTCCCAAAGGCGTGGGATTACAGGCTGAGCCACTGAGCCCGGCTGAACAGGCACTTCTTAAAGGAAGACATTCAAGCGGCCAAAAACCATGAAAAAATGCTTAGCCCCAATAATCATCAGAAAAATGAAAATCAAAACTATAATGAGCCAGGTGAGTTGGCTCACAACTGCAATCCCAGCACTTTAAGCCCAGAAGTTCAAGACCAGCCTGGGCAATATGACAAGACCCCATCGCTACAATAAAACAAAAAAATTAGCTGGGCATGATGGTGTTTGCCTGTAGTACCAGCTACCTGGAAGGCTAAGGTGGAAGGATAGCCTGAGACTAGCAGGCTGAGGGTGTGGTGACCGTGATTATGCCACTGAACAGAGTGAGAATCTAACTCAAAGAAAAAAACAAAAACTACAATGAGATACCACCTAACACCCACAAGGATGACTATCATTAAAAAGTCAAAAAACAATAAATGCAGGTGAGGTTGCAGAGAAAAAGGAATGCTTCTACACTGTTGGTAGGAATGTAAACTAGTTCAACCTTTCTGGAAAGCAGTGAGGCATTTTCTCAAAGAATTAAAATTGAACTACCATACAACATAGCAATCTCACCTCTGGCCTATACCCAAAGGAAGATAAATCTCTCTTCCAAAAAGACACCTGCACATGTATGTTCATTGTAGCCTATTCACAACAGCAAAAATATGCAATCAATCCAGATGCCCATCAAAAGTGGACTGGATAAAGAAAATGTGGTACATATACAGAGGGAATATTATGCAGTCATAAAGAAGAATAAAATCAGCCGGGCTCGGTGGCTCAGCCTGTAATCCCGTGCCTTTGGGAGGCTGAGGTGAGTGGACTGCCTGAGCCCGCGGGTTTGAGACCCGCCTGGGCAGGCGAGACCTCATCTCTACAATAAATCAAAAAATTAGCTGGGCATGGTAGCGCGTGCCTGTAGTTCCAGCTACTTGGAAGGCTGAGGTGGAAGGATCGCCAGAGCCCAGCAGGTCGAGGCTGCGGTGGCCGGAAGCAGCCACTGAACTCCAGTCTGGGCGACAGTGAGACTCCAACTCAAAAAAAAAAGAAGAAAATCATGTCCTTTGCAGCAACATGGATGTAGCTGGAGACCATCATTCTAAGTGAACTACCACGGAAACAAAAAAAATGAAAACCACATATTCTCACTCATAAGGAGGCCCTGATGAGTGAGGTCACATGAATACAAAGGTGGGAACAATGTACAGTAGACACTGCTAAAGGAAAGAGAGAAGGAGGAGGGATAAGGGACACACAACCACACACTGGATACCAGGTCTACTATCAGGTAGAGAGGGCTCACTAGAAGCTCAAACCTCAGCTGAGTGCAACTTATTATGTAGTAAATCCTTACATGTACCCCTACAACCCTAAAATCAAAAAAAAATTAAAGAAATAAATAAACTATTTCAGTATTCATAGTTCAAGCAAAGAATATGTAGCTCTATAATTTACTTGCACCTATTATATAAAGGTGTATTCACACATTCTTTTCAAGCACACACTGGTCATTTGCAAAAAGTGCTCACACACTAGGCCACAAAACAAATCTCAAAAACTGCAAAGAATCAATATCATATAGATTGTTTCCTTCAACCACAAGAGGATTACATTAAAAACCAGGAACAAAAAGAAACCAAACAAAGGATCAAAGAATTACAATGAAGATTAGAAAATATATTAGGACTAGATAATAGAAAAAATACTGAAACTTGTGAAAGAACGCTAACGTAAAACTTATGGGAACAATTAATAACTTTAAATATTTATGTTTGAAGAAGAAAAACTGAAAATAAATGAGCTAAACATGTAAGTCAAGGACTTAAATTTAAAAATAGAAAATAGAGAAAAGCATAAGGTAGGAAATTATAAAGCAAATATTTTTTAAAATGAGATAGAATATAGAGATAAAATAGAGATTTTTTTTTTTTTAAGTTGGAGTCTCACTCCGTCATCCAGGCTGGAGTGCAGTAGCACACTCATAGCCACCCCAGCATTGACCTGCTGGGTTCCAGCGATCCTTCTGCCTCAGCCTTCTAAGTAGCTGGAATTACAGGCACACGCTGCTATACCTGGCTAATTTTTTATTTATTGTAGAGATGAGGCCTTGCCAAGTTGCCCGGACTGGTCTCGAACCCATGGGTTCAGGCAATCCATTTGCCTCGGCCTCCCAAAGTGCCAGGATTACAGGCTAAGTCACCAAGCCCGGCCAAAATAGAGAATATTAACAAAGTCAGAAAGACATGTACCATCAACAATCCTTGCAAGATTAAGAAAAAAGAAGTTAATGTTAGAATAAAAAGAAATATAACTCAAGATTCAGTAGAGATTTTACAACAAGCAAGCAAGAATTATGGGGACATGACAGCAGTGATACAATTTTTTATAATCTCTTTGACTTTCCTCTAAAAAAGAGCAAGTAGCCGGGCTCGGTGGCTCAGCCTGTAATCCCGCCTTTGGGAGGCTGAGGTGAGTGGATTGCCTGAGCCCGCGGGTTTG